GTAGTGATTGTAATACTTTTTTAAGTCATTGACTATAATACTTTTTTTTTTTTTGAGGAAATGTACAAGTTAGATTATGTTAAAAATTTATAAAATTTTAAACCGCCAAACCAATTCGCATCCATATGCCAATCTGCCAATCTGTTCAATCCACATCTGCCAAATTGGCAGAGGAATACGAATTGATTTTCTCTAATCCACCAATCTGACGGACGGATGGCGGACTGGAAGTTTCGTGACCGCAACCGACGCACGTCCACCCCTAGTTTTTAGTCTCATTTTTTTCTTCCTCTTTTTTTAGCCAAAAAAATAGAAACCCATCGTTTGCCGAATAAATTTTTTTAAAAAAATTTAAAATTTTACTAAATTTTTTTTTAAAAAAATAATAACAAAAAATTCACTTATATACACCAATTATCCAATTTTTTTTAAAAAAAAAAATAAAAAAAACTATTTCTAAATACATTAACTTTTTTTTTTTTCATTAAAAAGTTTAAAAACAAATTTTAAAAACTTAAAACTAGGCCAAATTGTTGTTGACAGATACGTGTTATTGGGCCCCTGTAATTACTATACAAGCACAGATGTCAGGCCCGTCTTAAAAGCCCAATTTGTACCTCACTTAACTCTTATAAGCCAATGAGGTGCTCCCAACGTAGACATTGAAGTTGAAATTGTACTGCAGTTAGGGCACGAAAATTCGGAACAAAAAACGTGGTGGGTTTCCAAGTACTTTGGCTTTGTGAGCCCTTTGGGACATCCAAATTTTTCGAAGGAAGGGAGTTATGGATATTTTAAGGATGGACCTAAGCCAAGACAATAGACCAAGTTGGTTATGTAAAAATTGCCACACATACGCGCCACTCAGACCAGGTTTAGGGATCTTGGAACTTGGGCTCTTGAGTAATTGATTAAGCCTGTGTTTGGCAAGTGGGTTTGCAGGTTTTTTTGGCTATTTTAGCCACAAAAAACAAAATAGGCTATTTTAGCCATAACAAACAAAACATCACATCCAACCCATAATCATTACATTCTTCTCTCACAAAAAAACTCAAAAAAGCCAAAAAGTTAAAAAACCCTTCCCAAACCAAGTTTTTAAGCCCAGGCTAAAATAGCCAAAAAAATCAAAAAACCAACCCACTTCCCAAACGGATGCTTAGCATGACTCTTATGTAAGGATGACTAGCACAAATGGATAAATAATTTAAATTTTGTCTTTTCTACCAATTATAAGTATAAATAAATAACAAAAAGGGAAACAAATATCTAGGGGATAAAATATACGTGTCAATAAAATTTGGGGTCATTTTAAGAATTAGAAAGAGATCAGGGGTATCCGTCCAATTATCTTCTGCAGTTCAATTTGAAAACGGGCGGGCTTATATTATCGTCCACTATTCTAATCTGACACTCACAGCTACGGCCTTTCTCTATCTATCTCTCTAGATTCCTCAAATCTCGACAATGTCTGCCATGGCAAAAACCAATCATTCATCATAACCATCATCATTATCATAATCATTATCTCATTGATTGGTCTCAAACCCTAATTTCATCAAAACCTCCTTGACTCGTTTCTGTAATGTTAGGGTTACTCCATTTATGAGTGACACCCAGCTTCTTCTTCTGAAATCACAGCTCATCGATGTCGAAAGAAGCCTCTTCTGTTCGATTCCTCGCTCGAAACGATTCGAAGAACACACCAACGGAAGGAAACGAGAATGAGTTCGAAAACGAATCAAATTTAATTAATTTTCCACCTCCGAGAACACCTCTGAACGCAATTCCAGATCCTTCTCAATACCAGAGAGAACCTCAAGAGCTCGATTTTGAAGGTAGCCGAGTAAATCGATCATCAGATAAGAAAATCGAACAAGTTTCTGATATTCAGTTGGCGCTGAACAAAGCAATCGGAAATGTGGGTGGTTCGAATTACGCAACTCCTAGGGTTTCTGGTCGAGGAAAAGCACATTCTGAGCCAAACTCAGCGCAAAGTACTCCTGCGAGGAGGGTTTCGAATATTGGAGCATCATCAGTGGTTTGTGCTGGGCTTAGGCCTCCTCAGCACTCTGGAGCTAGAGGGGGGAGCTCTTCTAGGGTATATAGAGGGATTCCACTAGTGAATTCTGAGCAGTTCATTGAAGTCCCATACTTTGAGCTTGTGGAAGATCCTTCATTCTGGAAGGACCACAATGTGCAGGTATGTTTCATATATTATATCTTAATTGGCATTTGTTTCACTATTGTTGGTGTCTATGTTGATGTGCTGAATGTTGATTATACAGGTTTTGATACGACTTAGACCTCTAAGTAATACAGAGATGGTATTTCAAGGATATGGCCGATGCCTGAGGCAGGAGAGTGCCCAGACCTTGGCGTGGCTTGGCCATCCTGAAATTAGATTTACGTTTGATCATATAGCTTGTGAAATGATATCACAGGTGATATTTCAATCAATGTCCATGAAGCATCCATAATTTATTTTGATAGAGATGCATGCAAGCACATAAATAGACACATACGTTATGATGCATTGATTGAAGGTTTATATGGGTTCTTACCTGAATTATTGTATGAGTTTTGTGTAGGAAGAGCTCTTCAGGGTTGCTGGATTGCCTATGGTTGATAATTGCATGTCTGGATATAATAGCTGCATGTTTGCTTATGGCCAGGTATTAATTGTCAGAAATGTTTGGTCATTTTTTGGTAATGATGTGTAATGCCATAGATTTTGAGGTCTTTAATGTTTTCTTGCAGACGGGTAGTGGGAAAACATACACCATGATGGGTGAGATATGTCAGATGTATGGCAAGCTTAATGAAGATTGTGGGATTACTCCCCGTGTTTTTGAATATTTATTCACAAGGATTAGAGAGGTTAAATACATAGCTTTTCCATAAGTTCTATGTCTAGATTATTTGCAGGCATTTGATATGATCTTTCATACTCCTATAAGTTATTTATGAAAATCACTTGTCCAGGAAGAGGAGAACAAAAGAGATGAAAGACTGAAGTACAGCTGCAAATGTTCCTTTCTAGAGATATACAATGAGCAGATAACAGACCTCCTAGAACCTTCATCGACCAATCTGCAAGTAATTTTAGCTATATGCGATTCATTTCTGGGAGTTTCATTTTGTGTTATCATATCATGAGTTATATAATTGCTTTCATTCTATAGCTCAGAGAAGACTTAAAGAAAGGGGTGTATGTTGAAAACCTTACAGAACATAGCGTGAAAACCGTTAATGACGTTCTCAACCTTCTATTACAGGTGTGACTCAATAGTGAACGTTTGTGTTCTATTATTACTTGTTAGAGCATAAATTTTACTTGGACATTCTTTTATCCTAGACAGGGTGCTGCAAATAGGAAAATGGCAGCAACCAATATGAATAGCGAGAGCAGCCGGTCTCATAGTGTCTTCACATGCACGATTGAAAGCCACTGGGAGAAAGATTCCATGACCCACCTTAGGTTTGGAAGGTTAAATTTAGTAGATCTAGCTGGTTCAGAAAGGTAAGTACAGATTTTATAGTCTGGCTATGTCAGTTCATTGTGCTTATTTGCTGTACTCCTTTTTTTTTTTTTTAATGATTTCGGTTTCTATGCTGAACTCATGGTGTTGATTTAATTAGGCAGAAAAGTTCTGGTGCAGAAGGAGACCGTTTGAAAGAAGCGGCAAATATAAACAGATCTTTGTCAACTCTTGGGTAATTAGATCATAAACGGTTTTTCTGTTAGGTTGCACTGAACAAAATGCATTAAATTTGTGTGTTTGGTTTGAGTTTTTTGAAAATTAAGTTTTTTGGTTTTCGTGTTTTTTTGTTTTTAGTGAATATTTTTAAAATTTTAAACATTTTTTTTAGTTTTTTAGATGCACCTTACTTAGATGTATCTAAAAAGTAAAAAATTTGTGAAAAAATATTTTTTAAAATTAATAAATACATAAAAATATAAAAAATGTACTGAATTCTCGTATTTTTTTTTGTATTTTTGGTATTTAGTGAATTTTTAAAAGGTTTTTTTTCAATTTTTTTTACTTTTTAAGTATATTTATGTTAGGTATGTCTCAAAATTTTAAAAATTGCTCAAAATATTAAAAAAATTCAGTAAAAACAAAAAAACACGGAAAATAAGAAAGTAGAATTTTTTAAAAAGTGTTTTTGAAAAATGATAACCAAGCATATACTTTTCATAATTATGCATGTGTTTTTATATGCTATTATGGGCCCAGTGGTTGTCATACCTTCCTGACTTGAGGCACTATGTTCTGAAGGAATAACTCAACTCCACTCAACAAGTCTTAATCCAACTTACTTGTGGTAGCTACATGAGGACTATATTCTAAAGGACTATTCTTCTTAATTATTTAGTTGATGAAACATGTTATACTTGACTATGTCTTCCAAAACATTGAGAGAGAAGTCGAGAACTCTTGATGAAGAATTAGAAGTGATACCTTTAAATTAAGGATTCTACATTGGTTAGTTTTTAGAAGAGGATTGAAGGATTGACTCAAGAACTATAATGTTCTATGAAATAAAAATCAATGAATGAATAAGTAAAATACTTCTATAGACATTCAAGGTAGAAACTTTCAATAATAGAACATATATACAGAATGAAAAAAAGTATGACACATATAATTATAATCTTTAAGTTCAAATGCAGCTTAAAGGGTAGAGTACTTACTTTCTAGTTGAAATCTCTCAGTTGAAAGTTGTGTGCATACATACAGATCACAGTTTGAATCCGTTCATCTTCATGTATCTAACTTGTGGCTTCTAAGGTCAGGGCAATGTCAATTTGATACATATTTGCTCCAGGAAAATAAATAAGTTAATTATGGGTTGCAATGTGGAAATCTATGATTCTATTCATTCTGCGGACTAGGCAAGTCAAACTAAAATAGTTAATATTCAGATCTTATGATCCATTGCTCTTCTTCAAAATGATGGCAAGACACATTTTCCCTTGTCTCTGCCATGTTGAGGCGGTTTGGAAACTGCTTTATTAAAGGAGTGCCTCCATGAAGATCCAACGAGCCAAATAAGAAGCCTCCCTGAATTAATTTCCTTGCGATTTTTTTCCCAAACAAGCTGTAAAAAGTGCTCTTAGCAGGTTTGCTGTTTAATGGATCCTTGGAAAACTCAGCCTTATCTGAAACTTCTCAAACACAATCATAAAGGACAGCTTGATCGGAAATTTGATTCTGCATTCACTAACTTCAGCACAAAGTTGAATCATGATTCATGAATGTAGTGTTGGAGGCATTTGACACTATGCATGAGGTTTTTTGGTCTTCTAATCTGTTTCACTGTATCATTTCATTATTCTATGCTTGTAGCCTGGTGATAATGTCCCTGGTGGATTTAGCACATGGGAAACATAGACATGTACCGTACAGGGACTCTAGACTTACATTTCTACTTCAGGTCAGAGAATTAAAGCTACTACAAGGTGACTTCTAAATAATCATCGTAGGTACCTTTTGTTATGAGATATATCTCAAACTGGAGATGGCATTCATCTTTGGATGCAGGATTCTCTTGGTGGGAATTCGAAGACAACCATTATTGCAAATGTTAGCCCATCTATTTGGTCTGTGTTAAGCATAAGTCTTCTTTGTGTGAATAATTTTTTTAATTTGTTTTTTCTCTGTATTTTTTGTTGATTTCTTTTCATCATACCCGCAGCTCTGCAAATGAGACATTGAGCACTCTGAAGTTTGCTCAACGTGCCAAACTTATACAGAACAATGTACTGACTTTTACTCATATATTTCTGTTCCAATGGATCCTATATATAAATGCAACCTCTTTTGGCTTGTTTTTAATTTTTCTTCTAATTTTTTAGGCTAAAATAAATGAAGATGCTTCAGGTAATGTAACAGCATTGCAGCGGCAAATCCAACAGTTACAGGTATGGATTAGTCACAGCTTTTTTGCATGACATCAACATGTTAATGACACTAAGGTATTTATCTATTTGAAACAGGGCCAGTTGTCTTTCTTGATGAAACATTATGACATTTCAAGGTCTGTGCCAAGTTATCAGCAATCTAGATTGGCTGGTTTATCAGAGGAATATGAATCATCAGGGGAAAGAAATACATGTGATGATCATAACACACTAAGCATCCCCAAAAGGAAGGTAATCTTTATGTGTACATCGATAAGTTATTTGTTCCTGTCCAAAGCTTTGCATAGCATTCTGCTAATTTATATGTGGCAGGCAAAATGTTTGGAAGCTTCTTTACTTGGTGCCCTCAGAAGAGAGAAATTGGCTGAGACTGCAGTGAGGAGATTAGAGGCTGAAATCGAACAAATGAACCGCTTAGTATGTCTAGCTACAAAAATGAGCTCAACTTTCTTTTAACTTGAGAAATTTTAGAAAATTCTACTAGCCATTATTAGTTACTGCTGTGTTTCTAGTTTTGTATCAGAACCAGCAGTGGGATCTTGAAGGTTTAACTTACAGTTGTAGATTCTGTTGCAGGCTCAACAAAGGGAAGAAGATGCTCAGCGTGCCAAAATGGTGCTAAGGTTCCGCGAGGAAAAAATTAAAAGACTTGAATTGTTTGCAGACGGTTTAGTCTCTGCCGACAAGTATCTCATGGGGGAAAATAATAATCTAAAAGAAGAGATTCAGCTTCTTCAAGAAAGGATTGATAGAAACCCAGAAGTGACCCGGTTTGCATTAGAGAACATTAGGCTCCTCGACCAGCTAAGATTGTAATTCTCATGAATATGTTGCCTAATGTTTTAAAAGGGTGCTATCCATTTCCTTTGTCAGTGTCACTTATTGCTTTTACTGCCAGGTTTCAAGAATTCTATGAACAAGGAGAGCGAGAAAAATTGCTTGCCGAAATTTCAGAGTTGCGAGATCAGGTATTGGGAGATTATTTTCTTCTTATTTTTAGTTTCTTAATTGAACACCAAAATAAGTTCATCTAGCCAAGGGTAGCGTTTTAAAACATAATCTGTTCTGCAGCTTCTGGAAAGTCTTGAAGGAAACTGTGGCAAGCATAAATTTCCTTTGAGAACAGAAAAGCAGGTTTGGAATGCAATGTGTGATCAATTCCATTTGTTTGTTTCTGAACAGTTGCCATCTTTAATCTCTAAAGCTCCAAAAATGTCAGGATAATGATGCTGTGAAGGAGCTGGAAGACTACAAGAATATCAACTCCAAACTGATAAGGTATATTTTGCTTTATTTGATTATCTTATTCATGTTTATGAGCCTACATCTTCCCATTTGGCTGTGGGGCAGCTCACAAAACATATTGATATTTCAATTTACATGGACAATGCCTGGCTGGACTGATCATCTGAACACTCTAACAAGAACTTACTGTTTTGCACATGTTCTTCCGTAAAATGGAAAAGTGAAAACTGTTCTGTTTATTTGAACTTTATTATTCTATTGAGTTGAATTTGAGTACAAGGATTATAATACTGACCAGTGCCATTGACACATTCTTTTAACTTTTAAGTTGCTCCTTTATCCTTTTCCTTTCTTATTTATGCAGGGAAGTTGATGAATTACAAGCAGAACTGAGAAAATACAGTAACCAAGTTGTATGTGATTCGGTAAAGATAGCTTATAAGCTATTCAAAAATGGTAACTGAGATGGATTAAACTTTGTCATTTGGTGGTTTATGCTTTTTGCTTCCTTTGCAGGTTACAGATTCCGTAGTCAAGGATCTGGAGGAATTCAAGCAAACAGACAAATACTCATTGGTTAGAAGGCAGACTACTCTTGCATTTTGTGATACTATTATCTTTTGCAGTTCTTAGTTGCTGTTGCATCTCTGCTTATTTTCTGTTGAGTTTGTATACCAAAGTGGATTTTTTTTTTTATTGTGATATATTTCTTAACATCAAGTTGCTTCAATAGTTCATGCAAAAATTCACGAAACTTAAAATTGTCATAGCTTGATTTTCTTGTGTTCTATTCTGTAATCTATCTCAATTGCTATAAGAACCAGATATACTTGTTTTTGCAGCAACTTATATGTATGTGCGTATGTACAATACAAATTATCAAATACACTTGGAATATGAAGCACCGGCACTTCAAACAAGTGCCATAGCGGTGTCGGCCACGGGGACATGGCGGGGACGCGTATGGGACATGCCACGTGGTGTGTCCCTTTATTTAATTAATTTGTTTTCAGGGGACATATGGGGGACACTTCCGGGACATGCCAACTGGTTTTTTCCCCTTTATCTTTAGTACTTTTGATGGATATTGAATGTTTATTACTTTCTTTTTTAGATTTAAATATTTAATTGATCATTCATAAAAAAGATATAAACGATAAGTGTTAACTTTAAAGTGATTTTTTTAATATCGAATTAGTATTAATTTTAGTTAATTTTGATTGTTTGTGGATATAATAATAATATGCATAGCAAATAAAAATATATGAAAAATATTTTATGCCCGTGTCCCCGACATGTTCGTACCCCAATTTATTTGAAATCACTGTATCCTGTGTCTGCATTTGTGTCTTTGCTACTTAGTTGGAAAATATGTTCCTTTTCTTTTACAACATCATATCAATTTCAATTACAAAGTCTTCTAAATCATGCCTGAAATTTTTGATCAAGTGTCTGATAAAGAAAACAAATAATTCCATGTGAATCTCCGAATATTTTACCCTTTCAATTTGAAATTTCTTGGTGATTTCAATTAATAATTAGTCTCCTCTGTTCCAGGATGAAACCATATCAATCAGAAGTGATTCAGGAGATGATATGACATCTTACAATCAGCCAGAGGATGAAATTCTGCAGAATAAAAATGACGAGAAGATTAGTGATGGTTTAGCTATGCAGTCTAGTTACCCTTATGAAGAGCTGATGCTTGCAAGATCCTTAATTAAAACAATGGAATCTGAGCAGGTCCGCTTAATCAAAGAGCTGCAGTTTATGCAGAAGGAGAATCATAGATACATGGAAATCCTAAGCAATAAGGACGTGGTAGACAGAGAATCTGTGCTTAAGCTTGAAAGCCACTGTAAAGAAACAAGTAATTTAGAAAATCAAAAGCAGGCTTTGGTGATGGGAAGCAGCAAAGACATCAGCACAGCAGCTTTGCAAGCTAAGTTGGACAGGATGACCAAGGAACTTGAGGAGGCTCAATTACTTAATTGCCAATATCAAGAGGATCAGTCATCGCAGCTATCTCAGAAGCACCAAAGTGAATTAGTCTGCGAGCAAGTTGAGATGGAAACAGCAAAAACAATTCTTCATTTACAGGAAGAGGTGGCTGCTATTCAGTCAGAACTTGAGGGGAGATTATGTTACACAGCTGAAGAAAATATGAGACTGAGAGACACAGTAGCAGCTAAAGAGGATGAAATAAGGGCATTGTGCATGGAGTGGGAAAGGGCAACTTTGGAGTTAACAAGCTTCCTAATAGAAGGCTCTAAATCCCTCAGGGATGCCTCTGGCCAGATAGAAAGTATTGCTTATTCATTTCCTCATGTTAATGATTGGCTTGGTGAACATGTTGAAAGAGCTGCTAAAGTTTGTGTCGAGAAGGAAGAAACAATTCTACTGTTACAAAAAAGCCTGGAAGATGCACAAAATATGGTATTGGACATGGAACAGAAGTTAAATTCCTTGAAGGGAGCAACAGTGGCTTTAACTGAAGTTCAGCAGAGAGAAAATGATGCAAGCACTACGGAGACAATTCAGTTGTCTGCGCTGTTAAATTCTAAACTCAATAAGATAGATATGCCAGAGAACAGACTCATGTACACGGATGATCAGATCACTGAACCAGAAAGTAGTGCCAATGCTGTATTCCTAGGGGAGAAGAGAATATCTGATAGTGTGGAGGTTTCTCTCAGAAATACTACTGAAGGACATATTCCCATGTCAAAATCTGCTACACCATCTGAAATGGGAAGCCAACAGATTTCTGAGATGAAGGTCCATGGAAATGCTTTGTCACTAGAAGATATCAAAAGTCAGGTTGAGCTGGCAAGGCTGGTACTGTTGGAAACTGAGAATGATATTTACACATCGTGTGCCGATGCAGAAATGTATATATCATCACTTCAAAGTGACATCCACGAAGCTTCTTCTCTTTATAGGGAGTTGGTTCGGGGTTTTGTGGAAAACATTCATGAGATGAGAAAGAACTTTGTGGTGTTGAAGGAGAACTGTAGAAATCGTCAAGTTCAGACAGTGAAAATTCCATCACTGGAAGCCCGTGAGATTCCAAAGCATGAAAACCAGTATTTTCTGCTACATCAAATAAGAGATGAACTAGCTGAGACAAATGACAGACTGAATACAATAAATGCTTGCATCAAAAAAATATTGAATATGTATGATTGCCCAGTTAGAGCTGAAGATTTAGTAATAATAGATAAATGGAGTGCAATTTGTTCGGGCTCTGATTTTTCAGCTGAATTTGTCGCTCCAGAATTGAGTTTGGATGGGTCTTCATCTACCTGCTGCTATGGTACCCCTGGAGAAATAACTGAACAAACTTTGGACCAAGAGTTCAGAGGAGGCTCAATTTTGTCCACTGATGATCAAGAATCAGAGAAGTCAGAAGGACTTGTCCAAAGTTCAATTTGCGACGAAACAATAATCTTGTGCTTGAGAAAGGAACTCAAGAAGGCCAATGATGCTTTCAATAAGTTAAATGTTCAGTTAGCTGCCCTTTTCCATGAGAAGGAAATTAGAAATTACAGAGAATCACTTGGTTTTGTGAATATTAATGAACAACAGATATGTAGGAATGGGCTTAATCAGCACAAAAACTTGGAATTGACTCCAGCGCTTCAACCTTCTGAGTTGATACTGCTGGAAGCTGAAGCGGACTACTGTAATATGAGAGAGGTAATAATTTGGGTTCAACTAACACTGCAAATCATCTTCCCAAATATTATTTACAATGAACTAATAGTTGCATTTCCTTTACTTTTATATTTTTGAAATATGTCAAACTCCTTTAAATAGCATGAGAAAATCACTGATCTTTTCTTTTCTTTGTTTTGTTAATGCAATTTTTTGTTGTGCATTCGTCACTAATGAGAAAAATATTCAGGCCAGTGGCTTCTTCACCAAATTGGAGGAGGCTGGTGCAACCATGGAAGAAGCTGATGTTATGTTAAATACATTGCTGAAGGCAAATGAAAGTGCAAAACAATTGACTGGTATGTGGAAACAAACAGGAGAGGAATTGATGACGGAGAAAGCAAGCTTGATTAATGAAATCGAACGACTCCAATTGTTAATCCGTTTGAAAGATGGACAGAACGAAATGCTGCTGGATCAGATTCATTACAGTTTGCAAGAAACTGCGGATTCAATATCCTTACTCGAAGGGTCTTTTCTGCGCATGCAAACAGATGTGGATGAAATGTTCAAGGTAATATACGGTGATGCATTGACAATGGCACAGGTCATATTGAATTGCTTTTGCAAGTCAAGATCATCTTTGGAAGACATTTTCTGTGAGACAATGGGGCAAGGATTTGCCTCATTTGTGCTGTACCAGTGCCATGTTGGAGGATCTTTCCGCAAATTCCCCAGCTTCACAGTAGATCCCGGTTTCCATCAAGCCAGACCCCAAGAAGGCTGTTTATTAATGAACAGCTCAGGAAGTGAAAATGATACTCTGGTTAATGGTGTGAATGGTGGAGAGAAAGCGGATCAAAGTGCAGTTTTCAAAAGATTGGATGAGAGGGAGTTGGCACATGATAATCTGTTGGATGAAAATGTGTTGCTAAAGAAAGAATTGGAGAGGAAAGAAGTTGTATTGAAGGGTTTGCTTTTTGATTTTAGCTTGTTGCAAGAATCTGCTTCCACCATAAAGGACATGAAAGATGAAACTGAAAAATTAATAGTGGTTTTGAGCCAAGTACAGCAAGAGCTACAGATGAAAACAAATCAGCTCAATGATGTGTTGGTTCAGCATACAAAACTTGAAGATCAGTTGGCTGATACTGAAACTGCTTTGTTTGTCTCAAATTCTGATCTTGAGCAGGCTAAGGGAACAGTAGACATTTTATCAAACCAAATTGCTGAGTTGAGAGTGCTCTTGAAAGATCTTTACCTCAGAAAATCAGAAGTTGAAGAGCAATTGGAGGAACAGCAGGAGGTAGTCAAAAGTTTAGAAGAAGAAATTCTCCGTATGAATTCTTCGACAGAGAAAAAATTAATCTCTTCAATTGAAGATATGGAGGATGATTTGAGGAGGGTTACCATTGAGAGAGACCAACTCCGAGAACAAGTTGGCACCCTCCAAGATAAGCTTGAAATGGCCTATGCAATAGCTGATGAAAATGAAGCTAATGCTGTTGAAGCCCGGCAGGTATGCACAAATGAAGAACTTTTACAGTTGCAGCTAATTTCTGTTTTTCCCATTTATTAAATTTGGCATAATTTTTCTAGGACTCGGAGGCAAGTAAAGTATATGCTGAGCAAAAGGAAGAGGAGGTTAAGATTTTAGAACATTCAGTCCAGGAGCTTGAGTGCACCATTAATGTATTGGAGAAGAAGGTTAGATTATCCTACATAACTATCGTCTTATTTTTGCGGAACAGTGACAAAAAAGATAGTTTTCAGAAAATTGTGCTAATATATAATTTCAAATTTTGGATGCCTACATTTAGGTGGTTTTTAATGAATTGCATGGCTTGGTTATTATTTTTCAAAAACACTTTTAAGAAAATTCTACTTTCTTATTTTCCGTGTTTTTTTGTTTTTACTGAAAAAAAATACAAAAATTCAATACATTTTTCGTATTTTTATGTATTTATTAATTTTTTAAAATATTTTTTCACAAATATTTTATTATTTAGATACATTTAAGTAAGGTGCATCTAAAAAAATAAAAAAAATGTTTAAAATTTTAAAAATATTCACTAAAAACAAAAAAATACGAAAACAAAAAATTCTCAGTTTTCAAAAAACTTAATTAAAAAAACTCATCTTTACTTTTGGATTTTCTGGATACTGATTTCTTACATTTTTCCTGTTTGTTTTTCAACCAACTGAATTACACACATTCTGTCTTAGGTGTATGAAATGGAAGAGGATGTAGAAAAACATGAGTTGATAAGAGAGTCCCTAGAATTGGAACACCAAGCGCTGAAAAGTAGAATGCTAACAGTTGAAAACTTCACTGAAAGTATGGGTTCTGAAAACTCAAATGTCGAACAACAACCTGAAGATCAACTGTCTAGGTCAGAAGTGATGCTTGCTTTCTTTGTACAAATTATTGGTTCCTGTTCTGACTATTATTTGGTGTCAATGAAATTATTGCTGCAGACAGCTGCATAATAGATCCCTGGAACTTCACGAGGCACGCAAGCGGATAAGACTTCTTGAAGAAGAAGGAGCAGAGCAGGCTAAAGAGGTGCAGCTGTTATTTCTAGCACATTTGAATCTCAATGGGAAAAATTATCCTAGTTTACGATTGCTTGTTTATAACCTGATTTTTTGCTGTTCTAATGGAAATTGTTACCTTTATATGTAGATGAAACAATGCAAAGAGTACATCTCTGAACTAGTTTTGCATGCTGAAGCACAGGCATCACAGTATCAACAGAAGGTACAAAATCAGATAAGCAGGCTGAAGCTGTTTTTTTATTCTTTTTTCTTTCTTCTTCTCTTTGTTCCACCAAGCTACCATTTGTATAAATTGCTGGCCAATAATGAGGATACCTTTGTCACAGTATTTGAGCTTTTCTCACTGAACAGAAATGTGGCATATTACCACTATTTTCTTGGACCTGAATATTGCCAAGATTCAGAATTGTTTGTATACAAGCTTTTTCATAAAAGCCACTCATGGTGGGACCTAACCTCACTGAACCATTGCTCATGTTAGACATAGGATATGGTTAGATTGGTCTGTTCACCTCAACCAAAATGTGCTGTGTGTTTGAACTTGTGCATACCTGATCCATGTCCGTTGAACAGTACAAGACCTTGGAGGCAATGGTTCGTGAAGTGAGAAGCGATTCATCAACGTTGATACCTGCAACATTGACATCCGATAAAACAGAAGCAGATGAATTTGGAGAAGGATCAGGAGTTGTCAGTGGCCAGGTTTCGTATAGAAGAGCTAGAGGCATTGGCAGCTAGTAGGCAGAAAGAGGTAAAGTAGCTGTCTTACTGTCTTACGTAATTGTCCCGCCTGTACAAGTCCTTTGCTTGCATTGCAATGATCATATAATTTAAGTTTTGCACCCTTCTGAAAGCCAATAGTTACCTGACTAGAGAATTCATTTATTGTTTGATTCCAGAGTTTTCTTTTTGTTGTTTATTTAAAAGATATTTGATAGTTTGTTGCATTGTATTGATCCATTGTGTGCCACCACAGTTATGTATGTTGAATACTAGATTGGCTGCAGCTGAGAGCATGACACATGACGTCATTCGTGATTTACTTGGTGTTAAGTTGGACATAACTAATTATGCAGTAAGTTTCAGACTTGCACCTTGAAACAGGATTATTTGAAATTGCATTTCTCATTTGTGTGCATATTGCTTTCTAGAACTTGATAGACCAATATCAGCTTCAAAAATTAGTGGTGGACGCTCAGCAACAAGCACAAGAGTCCATTGCAACGGTACATTGTCTAACATTTGTATTTCAATATTTATTGGTTTAACTTGGCCTTACATATGTACTTTTTATTGTGTTAGGAGCAAGAAATTCTCAATCTTAGGAGGAAGATCAATGATTTAGTTGAGGAAAGAGAGGGGTGAGTTGATCCCTATCATCTTTTGATACGGAACTCTTTCATCTGCTTTCCCAATAAATTGAAAATCAGAACTGCACTCTGGTACTTGTATACGAAGTTGGGGTCCTCATATGCCTTTTGATAAAGTTGTAGACGTATATTTTGAGGTGCTTAACTATAAAGTCTCCTACCCTTGACCCTCTAATATGAAACCATTTCACTTCGCATAACAATAGAAATAAGATAATTTTTGGAGCAATAAACTCGGTTCTATTGCCAACAATAGACAATTACGTGAAACAACAATGAAGTCATATTTTCTTACTATATATTAAAATGGAATCTGCATAGAACACAAGAAAATTTGATATATGTTTGCATATGCCATGATTTGGCCAGTGATTCTTGGACCTTTCTTTTATTTCATACATATATAAAAAAAAGGAATTCTCCAGCAATCTAATACTTAGCGTCTATATTAATATTAATAATTGATTAATTGTGGACACTAATGCTTTTAATTGTTTCCCTAGAGTAAACCTAACACTTCATTCTATTAAGCTTACTGTCTTCATTCTATTAATTAGTGGAGAATTGGCCATTCACTGCCCTAAGGTATACCCTTGAATTCCATGTAATATGATAGTTTGCATGGATTTCTATGTAGAAGCATATCAGAAGTAAATAGAAGACATGCAGATATGCTTGATGCTCAGATCACTATTGAACAACTACAAGAAAGAGATCAGTTGCTCACTGCACAAAATGAAATGTTGAAGGTAATACATCCGTAGACACTTCATTCCAACAACAGTAGTAACTTAATCTGAAATGTTATTAATTTAGCCGTCAAAAAGTTCCTTCAATTTGCTGCTACCTCTTCATTAGGTGGACAATAGCAATTTGAAGAGGAGGATTGTGGAATTGGATGAGATAGTGAAGAAACTATTTGCAGCACAAAATGCCCCGCTGCGCTTCCAACAGCAGATGAAGATCAAGGCAGGATTTTAATCTATTTTCTCTTCTGTCTTTCTTCAAACCCCTGAACCCTTTCATCCAATCCCAAACAACCCCCCCCCCCTCTCTCTCTCCCTTGGAATGTTGGTTTTCTATTTCTTATGTGCCAAAGTTTTCTTGGTCCAATAGGAGAACAACTTGTTGAAGCAGCAAGGTGATGCTGATCTTAACAGGCGGCTATCAAAGTCTGAAAAAATTCTTTCACGAGTGAACAATGAACTGGCTCAGTATCGTAAATCTGATGGCAGAGATGCACACGACAAATTGGACGGGCCTGTGATAGAAAGAAGAATCAGGCAAGTAAAACGTCAAATATGCTGACTGAAATTTGTGCAGAAAAGCTCGCTTATCAAAGTATATGTTTGATGATCTGGCCAATTTTATGAAACAGGAAGCAGAAGACCTAGTTTTGATTATATTCTTCAAAGGAACTGCGTAAGGCTCATTTTGGTTGAATTGCAAATTCGTATGGCATGCCACCATGTTTTTTCATTCATGAGTGATAGAGGAGAGGGGACTGTTTAGGCTTGCTCTTCCATACAAATAGAAGGTAATTATATTACAGTTTCTTCAATATTTTCCTGCTAATTGTTTTTAGTGCTGTTCAGAACATCAATTCCGTACTCAAAACCAAGTGGATGGTTACAAAAGATAATTGTTACGACTGAATTATCAGCTTCTGGCACAGGATAACAATACAATAAGATTGCTCCATGACGAACTCCCATGTTCTATTTAAGTTAACCTTTTTGTTTTTCATTATTTATATATGTAGTTTTTTTTTCCCTTCTTCTAAAGATTCCAGTGATTTTACCGAGCAACTATTAATTACCTTTATCATTTTGATGCAGATTAGACGATTTTATACTATAAGGTGTCACCTGTACATATGATTCCACAGCTTGTGATTTTTTTATTTTTTTAAACTTTTAATCTTACCCATTTTTGAATGTGTGAGAGTGGAAATGTGGTGATTTTGTGTGCTATTGTATTCAAATATGGTTTTGTAGTTAATGTAAGTTTGGCACCGTTTTGGGCAAACGTCACACTATGCTTGTTTAGTTTTAAACTTTGTTTGATCGCATTGAATGACCAATTCTGATTATCTACAATGTCCACACGGAAATTCTGAAAGTAATTCTTTTCCACTTTGATGGTCATGGTGTCAAAAAGGAATGAGCTACTTAGGTGATCTACACTTTTAATGCCGCCTCTGAAGAATTGAGTTTGTGAAGGAAAAAGAAGAAAAAAAATTCTGGGGAAAAAAAACAAATAGCTTCGGTTTTATTTACGATAAAAAAGACTTAAAAAAGGCTACAAATATATTGAGTCTCCTCTTACACAGGAAGTTGGGCAAAATTTTCATTGCACGCCTTTTTCAAATTATAATTCAATGCGGATAAAATTGCAAATTAACATGATTAAGAATTTTATGTACTTTATTAACTAGTGATATTTTAATATAGTATGATCGTTATATTTAATATTTATTGTTTGCTCATATTAGTTACCTCTTTTGACCTTTTGAGTCTCACTTAAATTATGATTTGATTATGAAAAATGACATAAAATTAATAGTACCATGAATCTACTAAAAAGGTCAGATTAGTATTCCATGAAGAATGTGGGATTAATAATCCTATTCCGTGAGATTGGAGATGAAAATACTATTTTGTTCCTACTTTACAAATATAATGTTTCATTTTATATAATGAGCGGTTTTATGTAATTTCACATATTTAATCTTAATTAATTAATACCTTACACTAGTGCACAAAAAACACAATTTATCTTAGCATCTATAATTTCATACCACTACAATAATAATCCCATAACTCAATCTCATCATAGTCATAATCTCAACCAACCTAATTTTATAATCAGACATAACCTTGCATCATTTCAGTTTATGGAAACGGAGAGGCTTCTCAAGTGAACTAGCCTCATGGGATAATCTAAGTCATTCATTTTTAAAATCTTTGTACAAATTAACCATGAAAAGATTCGTATTAGAAATTCACAACCCTCTCAAAACTTTCCAATGCCAATCAAATAGGATTCCTCTCACCAAGTTGCACTGAACCTGCATTCAAGGCACACAAGTTTCTTGCCAAGCCAAAGATCTCTCTCCAAACTGGGGGGCTTCCCGATATTACTTGAGTTAATAATCATTCAAACCATCAAACTCAACTGAACAAATCATGTAAATCCATACAAAACCACCCAAGCTGGTGATATAAATTTTATAAATACATATTTTCCCCATTCAGTACAAATTAATATTCAAACTACATACAAATAAAAATCCACTCATTGGGATGTGAATAGAGAGGGTATTTAGATCAACAAAGGCACTCAAAATCAAGTTGCATCAAGAATACAACCCACATATTTGTGCTCAAGATGCCAAGAGCAAAGATAGGAAATCAACTCTGCCAACGCATCATGACTCGATTAATATTGATCACCCAAAAGGTAACACAAATATAAAGATTTGTGAAAACAATGAATGTTACAACACTCAACAGGTTATGTCTGGATATTAATGATAAACTGAGGGTAAGTTAGATTCTTACAACATTCAACTTGTCATAGTCGAATATTAATAGACAATCTTAGCGTAAGCTACATTTGTCAAGATATCCAGCAAGAAGAGCTTAAAGAATCCAAATACAACAGGCTGAAGATGCTGATCTTCTTCAATCCATTGCCGTTTCATGATCCAAGCTTGGCCTTAAAGAATTCTCCTAAAATCAGTGGAAAGAATAATAAGAACCAAATTGCTATTGATGTATCCGAATCTTTCCCAGCTCATACTTTCTCCAAGTCAGGTGTATTTGTAAATGCAAAAACTAAAAAAGGATGTTTGGGCAAGCTGATGTGATGCGAAGAGACACTGCGCAGACTGACCTTAATACAAACATAGATATAATGGACGTCAGGGTTCTTTCCAAGAGCTGCTTCTACTGAGCTTCCCCCATCATCCAATGGAATAGGAGAGGTCAGCTCCCATTTCTGATGTCCAGAACCTCCCTCTGACATAAGTTTGTCTGCGAATGTGGTCACAATCAGCCAGAAAACAAGTAATTAACTACAAGGAATAAGATGTCATGTAATGAATGTGATTAATAATATAACTACATCCAACAGGTTATAACAAACTGCACAATTGCAAAAGAAATTTGGGGTTAACTCTTTAGGATATGCAGATCCTAAGGACTGAGAACTGAATGGATCCTTATTTAACCAAAACGTGACTCGGGATAATCAATGAAATCACATATTGCAGCATAGTTCAATATAATCTCTGTATCAGCGGTTAAATATATGTGCATGAATTTAAGATAATACCACTCCTCTTTGCAATTGACACATACTAGGGAATAAGGAATTTGGATGTTCTAGCTATAACAAGTCATATTTGAGCTCCTTTGCCTCAACTATTTTGCAATAGCAAATTTTCAATTTGTAAATCAAAAGGGCAAGAGTAACTTGACTGTTTTAAGTGAATGCATACACATTATGTGTGATTTTGTAACACAAATTGGTGGAAGCACTATGCTGTGTAAAACTTTACTTTAAAATGTAACATGATCCTTAACTGCAAAGGGACTTTAGCTGACCTATCACATGGAGTTTTATTGTCCATGAACATGAATCTCTCAACAAGCGTAAACGGGAAATTGGTACTCCATATGTAATCTGCAAGACACGAGAGACTCGTAAAAGGCAAAGAAAAAAAATGTGAAAACATAAATCTATAAAGCTGCAATAAATAATAATTTCAGAGAAAATGATAAATGTAAACAACGTTTAATTTTTCTGATCTGGAATAAATAGTAACGTATGATTACCAGAATATAAACTCCTTTATCCTTGAGGACCCTATAGTTTGTCATCAACTGCTTCAATATATTAACAGATCAAGAAAGAAAAAGTAACAGGATGGAAAAAAATACACAATGTTGGAAATGATTTCATTGTACCTTCCAACCTCCTCAAGCATCCTAGCAGCATTTATTTGTGAATTACTGCCACACTGGAAACACATATTCGGTTTGAGTAATTACTCTTTCAAAAAATAAAAGTACTATTACCAAACACAGAACTCACCAAAAGAGAATCTAGAGTTCCTGGAAACACCAAATAAAATAACATCAAGAATGGTTCCAAAACCATAGCAACAAGATGCAATTCAGATCTCATCTCATAAATGTTAACGGGAGACGTAACAAAAAGACAAAACAAAAAATTAAATACCTTTGTCAATTACAGCATCAAAGGAACCAGTTTGAAATGCACTCATATCTCGGGCATCCATTTTAATATCTGCTTAACATTGAGGAAACTGCACTTGCAATATGTAGCTCATCATTGCAGAACTTTCTAATAAAGAAGTTCCAGCAATTTTGTGGAGTATACCAATATCAACCTACATGCATCTAAAGCTGAAATTTTAAAATTAGTTATAATTAAGTTCTGATGTTGTTAGCCTTACCTGTGATTCATCCATTATATTTGTTTGTTATTTCCCATGCATTATCAGGACAAGTGCCTCGAAGCATAGCTAAAAAAATGTTCAGTGTGACTGAATTCAGACTTTAATAGCTCCACATCAAGATCAACCAACTGAAACACTGCTAGATCAAGTAATACTGATCAACAGTACAATAATGTACCATTTTGAGCACTTTCCACAATACAATTCTAAAAGGCAGATATTATGCACTACACACAGAATAAACAAAAGATACATTTCAGTTGCGGATGATTACTGTATTTCTTTTGCATAGCTTCAATCACCACAGAGGATATATCAATGTTGACAACGTCCCCATAGCCATCATCAGTCATGCCTTCACTAAATGCTGCAAGTAAACACAAAAACCATGATCAGCGGGTGCATGAACATGTCAATCTATAAAGTTGGTTTGTCAAGGATGCATCTAACATGAATTTTCCCTAAAAGAACATTTGTTGCACATAACATACTTCTCTTTGATGTTCAAATGCAAAAGTTGAAGTATCAGCTGCAAATTGTAAATAACAAATCAAAACTGTTAATAATTGTGAAGGAGTATTAGTTATTCCTTTTTTTATTTTGTAAAATTTGAACATGATTGTTGACAGGTAATCAATCTGTCAAGTGGCAAGCATCAAGATCCATTATTACGAATTAAAAATCAAATGATTGGTACGTTGTTCTTTACGAGAGTAGGTGTTCTAAGGAATCATATTTAAGAATTGCTTAACCAAATGTCCTCAGGGCAATTGATAACAATAAGCTTTTGAAGATTACACTAGTGGGATGGGATTTGTACAATATCAACTTAATTAGTGAGAAACTTGAATCAATATCAATAAATTATTTAAGCATCGAAAAAGACATAGGTGCATCCAACAAGGAAAGTGCAATTTTTATGAACAAACCATAATGGATAATAACAAAATCAATCAGAACTTTCTTAATCCAAGAGAACAATGAGAGATCTAAAGACAGAGATCACACAAACATATATATATATATATATATAAGAAAAAGAGGGATGTATATATAATATATATGAATGGAGAGAGAGAGAGAGAGAGATAGATACCGGAGTTACCAGAACCGACGACGAGGACACGGTGGTGAGAGGGGACGTAGAGGCGGAGGAGGGGGGACAAAGAAGGGTACTTTTGGTACCAATCGAAGGGCCCTGCCTCTTGTGCGTACCTATTGTCCCAATACCACGCCTCTCCGTATGCCTGCGTCGTCGACGTTCCCAGCGTCATCTCTCTCTCTCTCTCTCTGTGAGATTGATTTTCTTGGTAATGTCGTTGTGTGTTGAGTTACTGTTCAAACTCTGATGTCGATCTGCCTGTGAGATGATGATGATGATGATTGATGACGAAGATGCCGGTGGACACGTGTCACACTAATATTTGTTAGTTACGGTTGACTCGGCTGGCTTTTTCCAATTTTCAATTCTGTAAACGGTAATTAATTGAGAGAAATGTTAGAGAATTAAATATTCTATCAAAAGTTTTGTCAAATGTCTCTACTCATGTGAGATATTTGGCAAAATTTTTAATAGAATATTTGAGGTTTCTAACATTTTTGATTAAGTAAATCTCTAATCCGAATTGGGACACATATAGAATTTGCGTGAATCTTACGCTTATGTTAGAAATTTGATAATTTATTTAATAGTTTATTTGAAATCCGAACCTTACTCATCCGAATTACCATCACATAATTGCGCACCTACCGTTCGTTCCCACCTAATCTCCTAAATTGGGCTGTTATCAGTTACTATCACAAGATCTGTTTTAATAATTAGGAATATTAAATTTTTTATGAGTAATATTAAAGACTTAAAAATTTTAGCAAAAATTTCTATGCAATGTCTTATGGGTGTGTTTTCACACCATACCCATGTAAGACATTTGAATTTTGAAGGTAGCCGAGATTTGGAAGAAATGTTGGTGTCCCTAACATTTTTCTATATCTTAGTGTTTTTATTTACAAATAAAATAAAATTTGAATAAAATCAAACAATGAATGGGAATAATAATAAGATATTCTACTTTAATAATTTGAATTATTTATTTTATAATTTTTTATATATATTTTTATTCATTAAAAACAGTAAAAGTCGATTTGATAATATGTTAAATTTATTAATTTGTCATAAAAAAATAAACAATTTATTTTCAAAAATATAATTATTATTTATGTTTTTAATGATAAATGTAATAAATTAAACATATTATGATTATTGAATTTGCCTTTCATTATTATTATCATTATTATTTTCAATGATATACACACAAAAAAAAAAACCTCTGCATCTAAAATTAAATATGACTAGAATGATCTTACTGTTACATCAAAAATTTATTCCATTTGTATGATCTACTCTAGTTGCTTTCTCCCTAGAGTCATATTTTGTGATGTATTTGATTGGAAAATTATTGAGTATTTCTTAATTATTATGTGATATTGTTCATTTGGTGATCAAACTAATAACATTGTAGAAAATTTTACAAGTGAGATAATATTGACTCATCTTTGTTAGATAATTGAAATACAAGTTTGCAATTTCTCATTTATTTAAAGCACAATGTTACAAGGTTACTCTAGGATTATCTAATAATTTTCTAATAAATTTATATGCTTGATGATAAAAACATATGCAAAGGCTATACAATTCCAGAGTATCATTAGTCAATTTAATTATTTTCAACTTGTCAAAAACAAAAAAACAGAAGGCACAGCATGGATACATTGAAGGGCCCAACCAAATTCAACTCCATGGGCTTTTCCTTGAGCATGTACTACTGATATAGTGATTACTACTACTAGTACATGGGATATTCTATAACTGGCATATATATTAGCACCACCATGGTTGTTCTCCTCATGAATAACCATGATTTGTGATACTTGAGCCATAACCGATTTCTGCTTCTTGTGGTTGATCCTCTTGTTGTGAATACGGCCTCCATCGGTAGTGGTGGTGGTGGGCAGTGGTGGTATCACCATCCTGTGGGTGGCTGAGCTTGGTGGGTGGCGGTGGGTGGGGATTAATGGAGGATCTACAGAGTGGGCAAGTGGAGTTGGAGTGGAGCCAGTGGCTGATGCAGTCGACGTGAAACACATGCTTGCATGATGGCACCTGATTCAACTCCTCTTTCATCTCAAATTCTCCCAGGCAAACACAACATCTGTCATTTTGGTTCACTCAAAACATTAACACATTTTTTCATAAAATCTAATCAAACAAGAACATGCTATACATAAAACAGGTTACTTCAAAGAAATTCAGAAAGTCAGCAGCAAGTTGAGGAAAACAAAAATGTTATACACAAAAAGTCGACTTTTTTTTCCTTTTTTTTTTTTTTTTGGGTGTGATTTTTGTTTCAAATTGAACTAAATTGACACAACGTGAAAAATTCAAAATAAAATTGATATAATTAGAACTACAATGACCAAGTTAATTCAAATCAGAAGACAAATTAAAAAGACTAGGGGTGAAATTTGCTCCTCTACTTTTTAGGCAATCTTCGAATAAAATTTTCTAAATAACTAGGATTATTAATAATAAGAAGCATGCTCAGTTTCACTGCACCCTGCAATATTGCTCCAGCACCCAAGTTTAGATGAGAATGACAGAAGAGATTCTTCTATATCTCAAAAGAACAAAATGATCATGTCCTAATTGCATATATATCACTTTAATCTTTATATCATTATTATAATTTCGTAGTGGGAAAGAGATAATCACCCACCTTCTAAAGGCATAAAGCAAGATACTAAATTTAAGTCTGAGAAGAGAGAAAAAAATGATCTAATCATTTCGTTAGTAGTTTATTCATAATTGTGTCTTTTTTGTGGAACCTTTTGATTATTAATCCTCAGTATCTGCTACCAAATCACACCACACTTACAATGCATATAGTAGTGGCACACTGGTAAGAAAATCTCTCCATTTCAAAATGCTCCAAATCTTAAAACTTTGATGACAGAAAAAGAAATTAGTATTTTGATTAGTCTTCCTTCTCTGCCCTCTACCATGTCTTTTCTCTAGAAGCAAGGACAGGAGTGAGGAGTCATTTAATTTCTAGCTTTAATTTTTTCAGTCTTTTAGGGTATTGACAAAAAAAATTTAAAATATTTGTATATTCTTTATAGAAACACACTTTTATCAAGAATGTATAATTAATTAAAGTTTTTTAACAAATATCCTTAGACCCTGTTTGGTGCAATTTATTGGGTTGCGTATAACTTTTTTATTTTGAAAATTTGTATAAAATTGTTTAGTGTAACTTTTGCTTATAATTAATATGACAAAATTAATTTAAATAAATTGAAAAATCTAGTTATTGAAAAGTTAAGAAAGATACTTATACTTTTAACTTACGTTTTTTTAATATCAACTTTCAATTTGAAACAAGTTACACCAAATAGACCTTTGGTGAACTCATTAACAAAATTTTTAATTTTTATTATTCATTTTTATATTGGAAATATATATGCAGACCCTTTTAAGATGCCATTGATCTTCGATACTAGATTGAATACTTTCGTTCTAACTGAAATAATTTAGAGCCGTGCACTTCTTGAAAAAATAGTGGATGCTATTAGAGATTCTAACTGTCTATGGAAAAAGATAAAAGTTTTATAAGTAGTTTTATCAATGGAGGTCATGATTGGTTGCAAAAATAATTCTCCATGACTATTTTTTTGTGCTTTTGGAGATATATTATACATGACACTTTCAAGTGTTTACTGAAACAAACTTTGTAAGTGGTCTATTTTTGAGATACAATCATAACAGCACTATATTCATGATGATAAATTATATTATGTGCACTTTCTTTTAAAAGAAAAAAAAAAAAAAGAGAAGATTTTGGATTGTTTTTTTGGTGGACCCACCGTGTCAATTTGATTGATCTAGTGGAACTCTCTATAGAGAAGCACAATTATGATCATAATAATGTTAATTTCTCAAGTATCAAGACCTTAATTAACACACTTTAATTATGAAGTTGTAGTACGAGATGAAGAAAAGAAGAAAATGTAAGAGAACTTACTGTGAGTCCTTCTCCCTTAAACCTTCATCAAACAGGACAACTGGAAGCTTTTCTCTCAGCTCTCCCTTCAACCCCATCTCTGCAGTCTGTGCAAACACAATATAAATAAAGAAAGAAAAAAAAATAAAATGAAATATATCAACAGAAAAACAATACAGAATGATGTGTTTTCATGGAGACTTATCATTTTAAAATTAAGCATCCATATAAATAACATTTAATTACAAAATGCTACCACCACATCCTGATGAATTCTATATAAAAATTATGTATGAATAGCAATTTTGTCAAAAAATTAAAAATCAGATTGAATTTTGAAGTAAAATTATTACATATACTTGCACTCTGCATGCATCTATGACTCCACTGTCTGGCAAAATGATTGTATGCAGCTGGATATTGTACACAAGATGAGCATCACAAAATATATATTGTTGATGAACACACAAACACAGAGAGAGAGAGAGAGAGAGAGAGAGAGAGATGGCATACCAAGGGGGAAAAAGTAGCAGCATGATGATGATTCAGAGTAATTGGAAGTATTGGGGGAGGAGAAGAGAGGGTAGAGGACCTCCTCTTGAGGTAAAACAAATAAAACAAAAGAAACAAAATTATGGAAAAGAGGATTGGTATTGAAAATATAAAAGCTTGGTAAAGCCTAAGTTGAAGTTCTTGGGAGTATAGGTGAGCAGGAGGGCTTGGATTTTGAGAAAGACCCATCAATTCTTATGCGTTGATGATAATCTCCCAAGAGATCTCAAACAATACATATAGGATAGAGAGCAAGAGGGCCTCGTTGTTGAGTATACTTATGTGTATAGAGAGAGAGAGAGAGAGGGTTGAGAGACATTTAATCATGCATGAGCTTGGGGAAAAAGGCCTATAAATAATGTTAAGATTGTTAATGGTTAGAGAGATTAGGAGGAACTTTTTAGATCAGCAATATCTATTTGCGAGTATGGTAATGATGTTACAAAAAAAAGAACATGTTAGTTTGAAACGGGAGAATCTTTCATGATTTTATTTATTTTCTTTCTTATATGAAATAAGGCTTCATAAAGGTTAATAAAGAAACAAGAAGGAAAATTTCAAAAAAGTGAGATCCATCACTTATAAGATAATTGTATCTAATTTTAAATACAATTTGTGTGATATCTAACCTTAATCTTTTAGTCCTTCAAAAAAAAAATGCTTAAGTTTTTGAAGTCCAACTCCTACAGTGATGGGATACCCATATACAAGCAAGTTTGAGCTGTGGGATGTGTGTGAATTTATTGTGGGCGTTGGCCAAATTACATTAAATTCAAATTTATAATATATTATACTTTTTTTTTATTACATCTTGAGTTTTTTTGTTTTTCTTCCTATCTTATGAGTGATGATGATTAAATTTTGTATACCTTATTAAGACTATTATGTGATTGATGGAATTTAGTGGTAAGTGTGTAAGTTACAATTTTGATTCTCCTCCAAACCCCCCCCCCCAACTCAAATGTACTAAAAAATAAATAAATTAATCTATCCAATTATTCCATGTATTAAATACAAGAACAATTCCTCATTAGAAAGTATAAATATATATAGAGAGGGATATGTTCATCCTTTATGTATGATGGGACAAGCCACTAAGATATAGATCCCCACCTAGCACCATGGGCCCATTCATCCTCATCCATCACGCATGCATCATTTTACATTTAGCTTGATGCTCTTATTACATTGGAAATTCATTGCTCCATTGACAAAAGAAAGTGAAAATGATTGGTTTTGGTACACACATACATGGTTAACCAAAACAAATGCTTACTTTCAAGTTGCACATCTTTTTGTTCTTTTTTTCTTATTACCTTATAGGGCAATAGAATATCTTCTCTCTCTCTCTTCTAGTTATCTTATAAAGTAATAGAAAAGGTAGATAGTTTTGCACTTTCGTGGTCATTTCTGACCATTACAAAATACAATGTGAAATAGAAAATAACTAGTACTAATTCAATTAGCAAAATTTAATCATCATCACTCAATTACAACTTTTAGGCGATGTCTATTTGAACGGATTGGATTAAGTTGGATTGACATTCCCATGACTAATAATCTTAAGACCACGAATTCCTTTTAGATTGTGTATCCTATTATATGTTTGGATTGAGTTAAGATTATAAGGAGAGATTAACAAAATATTATCCAATCTGACATTTCTTTAAGAAGATTGGAATGAATATGACATGACAAGACATAGGATATCTAATATATTTACGATAATACTTCTATTATGACCATTTGATAAATTAATCCAGACTTTGACTTAATCCCCCAATTTATATCTCACTCCTTATGTGAGATTGAATAGTCCATCATATGTAACATACCATATCCTGATGAATTATTAATTCGTACTTTAATTTTTTTACCAAACATCGGATTAATAATTTTATTAGACTACATGTCCGCCTAAACAAATATACTTTAATGTACCAAAAAAAATTAAGAAAAAGAAAGAAAGAGAGTTTGGACTTTTCACAAAAGGTAGTCATGAGAAAGATACAGAACAAGTAGCTAACTAGCACCTATTAGAACTATGGTTGGCAGGTCCATGGCATAACAACCTTTTTTTTTTTTTTTTTTGGGTTCGTGGCAAGTAATGTCATAAAACAACTTGCAGCCTTACAATAAAAATGGAATTGACAAAGTTGGTTTTAATTTTAACTTCAGCCAACTTACATATGTTTACCTATATCTTTGTAGAGTATCTCAACCTATCAGATCTAAGATCTACTAGGCATAGAGGACATGCACAAGCTTTACTGCCAATGCATATGCTGAAAATTGTCGCAGAAACTTTTAACATGCCCAAAACTCATACGCAACCCGGCTCCCATCATCCAACTGATCAATGTGGATCAAGTCAACAACATTTACCTCGTGACTATTGTTCTTATTGATCCGGAAGTACCATGTCAGCATGTTCCCAAGATTACTGGATAATTTTACAAATTGCACTATAAAGTATTAATTATGCATTTCTCCTTTGAACTAGTTCACGACCACAATTTCTATCCCCACAAAAATGCGGCTGCTCTTTTCAGGGGAAAAAGAAGAAGAGTATCTTTAAATATTCCAAACAAATAAAAATATGGTGACTAACAAAAACACAGGGAGGGTTTTAAAAAAAAATATTTGATGTAGAAGTTTTAGAGCCTAACATTGACAACGGGGAAAAACTCAAACTAGTGAAGCTATCTCTTCTTTTTTCCACCTTTCCCAGATTTTGAAGGTCCAGCACCCGAGGTCGATGCAGCAGCAGGCTCCTGTTTCTTGGTCCTCCCAGGATGTCTGGGTACCAACTCTGCTATGCGGAGCATTAGCTGTTTCCCTGCAAACAACCGCAACATAAATAAACAAGAAAATGCAAAGTTAAAGTCACGATGTTCAATTATTGTTTCAAGCCCAAATTTACATTTCAGATCAGACACCCATGGCAATGAAATTCATTAACTTCATGTGTTTCATATTCTTGTCGATAAGATGCGTTCCAGCATAATTCGAGGTGTGGGAAAACAAGATTATAACTCACCTACGTTTTGCTTATGAGTTCTGTAAAAGTGATCAAGAAGGCCATACACACTTTTTCATCTTTATCAAGTTTTTGCAGCCAAATGTTAATAGAAGCAACCCATTCGTTTCAAATGTCGTTGACCAGACAAAGAGAACATTGTACTAGTGTTTTGGTTTTCAATGGGGGTATATCACCAATCAATATTTTGTGGTACCTCTCATTTCCACCACATTGAGGCCTGAGGCTGTAGAAGTTTGGTGGAAAGGATTACAGCTTCAATGAAATAATGGAGTCATAAATTCTTATGTTATGCAGGAAGGTTACATTTTATAAATGTTGTGTTGTTTAGCATGCAATTACAAAGAGAATAGCAGCAAAATGCGAAATTTAATGGTACTCATATTAATAAAGCTTATCCTTACTTGAAGAAATGGCTGGATTAAAGAAAGTTCCATCCTCCTTTTTCAGCAATACCCTCACCCTTCCTCGTTGCATGAAATCTCGTGGATATGCCTTATCAATCTTCAACAAGAAATCATTTCACAGAATATGTAAATAATTAAATATATCCACCCATTATCACAATGCCACCAGACTCGCTTTAAAAAAGTGAGACAAGGGCAGTGTCAATGGTAATAAAATATTTGACAAAGATTATTGCAGATTTCAAAACAACAAACCTCAATTGCAAACGGGAGTTTAAGATGAGAGCAACAATCACCAATCTCAGCACAAGTAGGATTTTCACAGGCTTTGCTTGTGCTTATTCGCCTTCCCTCTGCTATTGTTTTCTTTGAATTTATGTAAATAGGATACAATATGATCCACTTCTTTATGTTAGAGATTTCTCCATCCATGCCTCCTCTAAAGAAAGTGACAGATCAGATTGTCAAGACAAACCCATTACATAACATGCTAAAAGAAGCTCAAACAGATAAAGGTGCTAATTAAAAATTATAGTAGAAAAGCAGCACCACATTGAACGTTTGTAATCACTATATAAACAAGTAAATCATTTTCCCGGGAATACTAGAAGAAAAGCTTTTAAATAGTGAACCCAAAAAAGATAATATCATTGAACCATGAATATGGAGGGAACTAATTGATGTCAAAACGGCCTTCGGCCCACTCATTGATGTCAAAACGGCCTTCGGCCCACTCATTGATGTCAAAACGGCCTTCGGCCCACTCATTGATGTCAAAACGGCCTTCGGCCCACTCATTGATGTCAAAACGGCCTTCGGCCCACTCATTGATGTCAAAACGGCCTTCGGCCCACTCATTGATGTCAAAACGGCCTTCGGTCCATTCATTTATATCTAAACGACCTTTGGTCCATTCATTCACATCAAAACTACCTTCGGTCCATTCATTCACATCAAAACGACCTTCGGTCCATTCATTCACATCAAAACGACCTTCGGTCCATTCATTTATATCAAAACGACCTTTGGTCCATTCATTCATTCCTATCAGACTTTTGTCCTCGATCCCAATTAACAACTCATAAAGTTTAAGGGAATAAACAATTGGACATTGACAATCATTCAAATATCGATATTACTCACAGTGATCGGCTTGTGGATTTGCCCTGGAGCTTGACCCTACACATTCCATGCACACAAAAGGGTCATTAACAATTCAATCCGTCCCTTAATTCACATATTCCTCTTTAGGCTTTATTCTTATCTCATTAACTTATTTATAATGTTTAACATACGCCTAAGAGTGATTACAAGTGAAAGAGAACGGAAAACGAAACACAGAACGCATGAACAAGATTCCAGAAATTAGGGTCCCCGCTCGAGCGTGTACTTACCCGCTCGAGCAGACCCTTAAGGCCTGCAAAAGTACTGGTTGCATGAAAAACGCGCTCGAGCGTGGAATAGAGCGCTTGAGCTGAAGGCCCGTCTTACAAACTCCACGCTTGAGCGTAAGGTATCCCGCTCGAGCGGACATCCAACTCTGCAAAAGTGCTGGGAGCACGATTTTCCCGCTCGAGCGTCAATTACCCCGCTCGAGCGGACATCAAAATTCTGGGTTTCCCAGATTGTGTTCTTGAGCTCCAAATCGGTTTTCCAGCTACAATACTTGCATGCAATGGCTCAAATTACACATTTACACATGCTAACATGCTACTAATACAAGATTACAACACCAGGAAGCTCAATTTCATGATTTATCTACATGCATGTCCCAAAATATCTCAAACCCATCAACAACATGCTCAAATTCAAACATTCAAGACTTATACTCCCATGATTTGTACATGCATGTGGGAGATGCTCATCATTCTCAACTTAGATGGTACAAATGGCGATTACAACATGAGTTTCAACCAAAACTCTACATGAATCATGTGTTTCAAGCTCAAACATGCAAATTCAAAGTAATTTCTTACATGCATGAGTTCCAAGACTTCAAACTCAACAAAAATCAACTTATTACATGCTCTTTAACATTCTATCAACTTTGAACTTACAAATTACAAACAAGAGTCCATGAATTCACTTACTTAAGAGCTTCAACCCTCAAGCTCTAGCCAAATCTTGAGCTAGATCTTCAAATTCCCAAGTCTTGAGCCCAAATTACACAAGTCTCTCCCTTTCTCTCTCTACAACCGGCCCTCTCTTCTCTTCTTTGAGTTTAATATCAGTCAAAATGAGGCTAGGGAGGGAGAGATTGAGTGTTTAAAGCTTGACAACAAAATCCACTAAAGCCAAGATTATAATAATAAAGTAGTTGGGCTCTAATTCATCAATTTAATCGGTTTAATCTAACCCGAATCAATTTTTCAATTAAATTTCACCGTAGGCTCTAAAAATTATGCCAATCACAATGGCGTAATCAATTTCAGGTTCTGTGGCCGATAAGGCCTCCAATTTAATTTCCGAAGCGGTAAAATCAAACAGATATTCCTACGGTGAACAGATAGAAATTCAAAACCACATATTTTCACATAATGGCATACAAAACCATGCTAAACACATAACCATAAACAACTTAAGGACCAATTAGCATAATATAGAACAGGGATGTCACAGTTGGCCTCTACAAGAATGCATGTATCAGTCTGCAAGTTTGAGCATCAGGCCTGCGGGCACCAGTTCAGTATTTTGGGAATCAGTTATCTGCGGGTATCAGGTTCCGTTTTGGGGGCAATAATTTGGGAATAATGATCAGTGTTGAGGAACAGTGTACTCAGCTTATTAACTGCAGGTTGTTATGCCCAACTGTGTGTTGTGTGTTTATTTTACGCTGTTATGTTGTCCGTTTGTCTGGTTATTTATTTCCTTATTATTGCTTTATTTATCTTTTTGCCAGGTAGTTTAGCACGATTACTTCCGACCCAGCAACCAACTGTGTGTTGTGTGTTTATTTTACGCTGTTATGTTGTCCGTTTGTCTGGTTATTTATTTCCTTATTATTGCTTTATTTATCTTTTTGCTAGGTAGTTTAGCACGATTACTTCCGACCAAGCAAATATTCCCCAAGCACTCTGGACTAGAGATCGCCGACTCAATCGATCTGAGGATCTGGTCGACGGACAACCAGTGTTTTATTCTCTACCCCCAGTTATTAAACGAAGGTCGAGAAGATGCAATGTATCCGAGTAGAGATTGCCAAAGCAGTGGTCAACCCTACCAGTGGACAGTCACGCCGAGGCCTCAATTTTCGCCACAGAGGGAATATATACCGGTAATTCAACCAGAGCAGAGCAGTATGGCAAGCTTAGAGGAGATGGTGAGCCAGCTCCAAGAGAGCATGAAAACTATGCAACAAGACGCTGTCTGACAGGCGGAGTTCGCCAAACAACAGGCCACGGTTATAACTGAACAAGCAGAGTTAATCATAAGGCTACAGCAGCAAGCCGGGGCATCTGCTTCACATCAAGCTCCTCCCCCACCAAGGGTTCCGATACCTGAGGAGACACCAAATGTCCAGCATATCCAAGAGGATACAAACATTCCAACGGGTCCGGCTTCGCCCCCGATTCTACCGCAACTATCCAAGGCGCCCACGCCTATCAATGTACTGGATTCTCCCTTTGAGTTCGAAGTGGACCCCACAGTGTTGAAGTTGAGCAAGCTTGAAAAGCTGTTCAAGAAATCCCAAGGAGTCAAGACCATCCCTGATATTGAAGATGGGTATACTGGCGCGGCTGTGACGCTGCCAAATCGGTTCAAGATGCCACAAATTGGCCAATTTGATGGGTCCGGGGACCCCATGGTGCACCTGAGGTTGTTTCAGATATCTTAAGGCCGATAGGCCTCACCAGACTACAGAAGCTGTCTTTGTTCGGCCGGACCCTGTCGGGTGTGGCGGCCATCTGGTACGCAAAATTGGAAGATGATGTTAAGCGGAACTAGGATGAGATGGCTGAGGCCTTCGTTGCACAATACTCGTATAACACGCAAATCGAGATTACGACCCGTGATCTTGAGACGACGAGACAGGAGCCTAAGGAGAGCTTCTCAGAATTCGTGACCCGATGGAGGGCCAAGGCCTCAATGATGACCATTAGGCCAACGGACAAGAATCAAATACGGATGGTTGTGCGCAACCTCCAATCCAAACTAATGCAGAAAATGATTGTGCTCCCCTTCCCTACCTTTTCAGATCTGCATGAGATGGGAGTACAGATTGAGGATGCCTTGAAGCAAGGCTTGATCGACAATGACAGAGAGCAACCCAGGAGAACCTTTAACCGCAACACCAATGCAGGCCCGAGTGGCGCTGCCACTGCAAGAGCCTCAGAAGTGAGCATGGTCACCACCATTCCCCCTCGAAGAACCATGGCAGCTACGCCATTTTCCGGTGCGTCCGGGAGCAATACACAAACAGCCAAATACCCGCCCAAAAACCAAATGACCTTTGCTCCACTATAGATGCCCCTGTCCAAAGCTCTGGGGGTTTTAATCAGAAAAGGGCACTTGAAGCCCCTAGAGCCGCGGCCATTGCCGGAAAAACTTCCCCCTACCCACAACCCAGCCAAATATTGCACATTTCACCAACAGCACGATCATGACACCGACCAATGCTTCCGATTACGTCATGAGATTCAAGATCTCATTGATAATGGGGTGATTGTGCCTCCCGAAAAATCCAATGTCACAACAAACCCTCTCCCACCACACCATCAAGCTCCACCTCCCAAAAGAATCAACTTTATCCAGACTGGGGTTGTGTCTTACGATCCTAGCATATATATCACCCCATCCCACCTACCCAAGCCGGAGGTGCTCCTTCCTGACTACACTGACTTGTGCATGTTAGACACCTCTAGAACCCAACCCGAACCAATGGTGGTGACTGTCGGAGACAGAACAGGGGAGATTTCGAAGGAGAATGGCATTGTTGAGTCAGAATCTGAGGAATCTGGGAGTTTTGCTGAAGAGATATACAGTCCGAGTGACTACATTTTGTCGGCAGGCCAGGATAGGTCAAGTGTGGAATTGCCAGAGAGGGCAGAGCTTTGTGTGATACAGGGGGATGGATTTGATCAGAGATCAGATGACTTAGCGGCTGTGGAAGGGGACTTCGCTGACCTCCAATTTTTCAACGAACAAGGCCTAGGGGACATGGCCGCCAACTGGTCAGATTTCGAGGAATCAGTAGAGGCTACTGGGTGGCTTGATGACCTACCAGACGTTGTCGAAGAATTTCAGTTGGAACAGGGCCCGTTAGGGGCAAGGGCATCAGTTATGGCCGGAAGGGCCGAGGATCGAAGAGCATCGCCGGTGCCAAGAATTTTGCTCGGGATCTGAGCGGTTTGAATACAGGAATCATTGAACAGCCAGTTGTACTGACACAGTTGAAACAAGAAAGATTTGAGGATTCTGAGAGAATCAGGAAAGCTAAGG